ATATTCCAGAAGAGCATCTTTCATGAAAATATCTATTGAATAGAGCCAGATCACCAACTTTTTCACGGTGTTCCAGAGAAGTGGGTGAATTTGTGAGCGAGGCATCACCCACAAGACAAGTTGCCCTTTCTTGGACAGACTCCAACAGTTTCAGGGTATGTTTGGGTGCTGCACCCAAGATATGGGAGCAGTATTCCAAGACAGGTCGGATCTGTGCCTTATAGATGATAAGCAGCTGACTGGAAGTGAAATAGCTCCTGGCCCAAAACAGAAAACCAAGTTGTTGGGATGCACTTTTGCAATGGGTGTCACGTGATTTTTTCAAGAAAGGTTATTGCTGATTTATCAATCTCGAGCATCGAAATGGATGTCTTCAAAGGTATGGTTTCTCCTGACAAGCTTATGTTATAGGCACAGTGAGATCGGCTTTTCTAGAGAAAACGCATGTTTGTGTTCTGTTTGCATTGAAATCTACCAAGTTATCGGATCCTCATTCGAAATTTGCTCCCAAGTCTATATTCATGCTAGCAACATTCCTCCCTCGTTTTTTTCTGATTCGCCTGGATGGTATTGGATCCCTGGAAGAGAGGGCGGTATGGAGGGTACTATGGAACTCCGTCGACCACTACATGGACAGACCTGTTTGGGAGAAAACTAGCAAGCAGACAACATAGCTGAGGATGCAAGCCATAAGATGAAAACTTGGCGAGGAGTCCGTGGTGCTAGACTCGATCGAATGCTTTGAAGATATCAAGTGCCACGGCTGAGGTTTTGCCATGGATGACGAAAAGTGAGGTACGAGCTCCTATTCTATATGGATCAGGAATGCTGATTAGAAGAAGATCTAGTGTATTTGCAGACTGGTTGTTGACATCTGGAATGCGGATTCGTAATTCGACTAGTTTTTCTAGATACACCTTCAGTCCCAATATGACTTATATCAAATATGAACTATACTTCAGATTCATTATTCATTTCGATTTGTGAGCAACATTTTCGAATGAATAAAACGTTATCTACTGATTGGTAAATAATTCTACTCCAAGTGAAAACGTATGTGTCAATGAAGCAGGGAAAACCACGATTAGAGCAGAGAAAATTTCAGTTCCAACATAAATTGTCAATATGCCAATGTAGAAGAAAAAACACAATTACGTTCATTCTTAGATAAGGGGTGATAGCAAAATTTTCAAAGAATCAGTTGTCTGCCGATGTGCAGTCCTGAATAGAATAGAATAGAATAGAATAGAATTTTATTCGCCACTGTGGTACATTATGTACATATGGTATGTCAATTTGAAGTAAAATATAAATAAACATATAAAAATCTAAATATATAAAAAATATCAGGATGAATTATATCACATAGTAGTAACTAATAGGTATACACATAATAAATGACAAACAGGACTATATATCTACAAGTAACATAATGGAATAGACAATACATATATTTGGGTCCTTTTTTTTTTTTTTTTTTTTTTTTTTTTTTTAATGTTCAATTCAGAGTATCGTCCACGAATTCGTCTACACTATAATAGCATTTTCTTATTAGCAATTCTTTCACTCTTCTATTGAATATATTGTCAGAAGTGGATTGCTTGATGGATACAGGCAGTTTATTGTAAAGAATGATCACATTATATAATGGAGATCTCTCATATTTTGCACCTTTGTGATCCGGAATCCGCAATACATTTCCATGTCGCGTATTGTAATTGTGCATACTAGAATTTTTCTCCAGCTTATGAAAATTAGTTCTGGCAAATCAAGTACATTTCAAAATATACACTGAGTACGCTGTCAATAAATTTTCACGTATGAATACTGATTTGCAACTCTCTAGGCGATTCATATTGAAAATTAGTCTGATGATTCGTTTTTGTGCTACAAAGACTCTGGAAAATTCTTTGGTAGAACCCCATGCCATTATATTGAGAGATATGTGGGAATATGCCATGGCAAAGTAAATATTCAGTAGACCTGATATATCTAAACAAGATTTCATTTGTTTTATTGCAAAGAATGCTCTGTTCAATTTATTGCAAACACTATTTATCTGCATATTCCAGTTCAGTCTTTGATCTAAGTGAGTTCCCAGAAATGTTACCTCATTGCTCAATTTGATGTCATCGATAATCTGTAGATCAGCCGGCATATTATTCTTTCTGTTGTAAAAGTTAACTATTACTGTCTTAGAGGAATTCAAAATCAATTTATTCCTTTGACACCACGAACTGAAATCATCAATAATGTTATTGACTCTTGCGATCAATTCTTCAATATCCCCACTAGTAACTGTGATCGTGGTGTCATCTGCAAACATTGTTATATGACAATTTGCAACATACTCTGACAATTCATTAGTATACAGTAAGAAAAGTAATGGCCCAAGCACTGATCCTTGGGGCACTCCGAGCTTAACGTCCTTGATACCTGAATTGATTCCATTGCATTTCACAATCATGGATCGTCCATCAAGATACGATTCCAACCACTTCATCAAATTGTTTGGGAAACCCAAACCAGATATCTTGGATAGCAAGCATTCAGAAGATACAGTATCAAATGCTTTCGACAAATCGAAGAATAATGACATTACGAATTTATTAGAATCAATTTCTCTGTAAATATGATTGAGTAGATAGTTGGTTGCAGTTTCAATTGACTTATTTTTTCTGAAACCATGTTGGTTCTCACACATCATTTGATTTTTTTCCAAATGATTAGCAATCCTAATCGAAACAATTTTTTCGTAGAGTTTAGACAAGGAGCAAAGTAGAGAGATTTGCCTATAATTATCAACTTCACAACGGTTTCCTTTCTTGAACAGCGGTATCACAAGCGCTCTTTTGAATTCTACTGGGAAATACCCTTGCAGAAAGGACTGATTGAATAAGTACGTGAGAGGTGTGATTATCACATCAATGATTTGTTTTATTGTACGTATTGACAATCCATCCAGACCTGCCGATGCTTTATTTTTTAACAGAGTCAGAGTATTTAACACTTCATTTTCATTTATCGGATCAGACTGCAATGGAAACATGATATTGCTCCTGGTATGCCTACTTACTGTACAAGGTAGGGAAATATTCTCGCCAAAATGAGCATTCATGATTAAATCAGCATTATTTGAGAAATTGTGAGCAAATATTTCACTTATTTGATGCAAGTCTCTTATTTCCTCTGAATTATGATTGATAACAATGTTCTTATCAGGCTCATTATTTCTTCCCAACTCATGCTTCGTCATGGCTGAATTATATATTCAAGATGAGTTGTCCTTCTGTTAGTTCTGGTTCAAAATTCCCTATTCATTCATCATTTCAAGGATTATATTCAAGATAAGTTGTTTCTTTTTTAGTTCTGAAGAAATTGTTCTCATCCATCATTCGGTTGCTCTCTTAGGAGCAACCCTCAGAAATCTTCAAGAGACTTCAGCAAGCAAGTAATGACAGGGGTCTAACCTTCTAACGTGTGATCCCAAACACTTCCTCAGCTCATCAGAAAACATTTCTGCGGTCGTGATGGGAGTCAAACCCACCTACCGGCAATCCAACATAAATAGAATACTGACGCTTCAACCAAGAGGCTACGCTGACTACCTCTGGTTTACCATTCCATATCGTTCAATTATTTTATATATCATGTCCTTTATATGCGTCAGTATATAAATCGCATCTGAAGCTCAAAAAGGATCCTGCAGATCGACAACATATATTTTTCTTCGATTGCTATTGATCAGAGTGTCCACTTCAACGTCCACACGTAATCTTCTCTTCCCTATTTTTCTATTTTCTTTCTTCCTGAAAGCTGAGAATAGTGCTTACTGTATTCAATTTCCTCATTTTTTTCATCTTTCCAGACGAAATTCTCCTTGATATTGCCCATGCAGTTATAAATACCCTTTTATTTATATTATTCAATCGAGACCGTCCTGAGAAAATAAATATGAGAATTCTTGCAAGTTCGGAGCTATCTCGTTGGTAGTTCGCCACTTTTCGAGCAATTCACTTCCTTCATTACGTCCCGATATTTCTCCGAAGATTGTAAAAGTTTCCGATTTCGCTTCTACACAGCGTATACGAGCATATAAAGTTCCATAATCGGTTATCTTCTTGGAGCAGAGCTGCCTACAATATAACGTTGAACTTAATATGACAAGTCAGTTTCATTTATATGTATTCCAAGACGACGACACCATATTCTGCATAATATATTGCTCTGCTTTTGAACATAAAATAGTGTATAGTGTTTACCAGGAAGTCTCACAAACGAATAAAACGAAACACATCCTGAATTACTCTAGAATGAATAATGATACGAATAACAGCAGTTTCATTGGTATTGTTCATCCGAATGATTTTTCATGGATTTCCAGTAACTTCAGTATTGAAACTGCGGTTCAATTCATCACTACAACTATAACTTTGTCTAAAAATCAACTGGTCATAAATCACTGTAGTTCGAACGGAACTTCGATCAGTCGCTGACGTTACAGTTGATATAAGGGAGAAACTAATGATCAGAACCTAAACTCATAGGACTATCATCTAATGGGCTATCACATTTACATTTTTGTTCAAACCGGATAACTAAAAACGGCGGTATGAATTGGGGCGCATTTTTCCAGTCAGCTTGTATGTAATGAGAACAAACATTTTTTTCTAAACCCATATATATATATATATGTACCTGAGCTATCTATGAAAGAGGCTTTTCATAGATTTCATCTACATATAAAATTTTAATATTCTCTAACACAACTTTTGTAATGAATGATATCTCATCTCATATATCATATATTTTTTTCAAGAATACCTTCAAGAGCAGTATTTTCTCTTGTTGGGTATAAGAAGTATACCATCTGATATCATTGTCATCGATTCCGTCCTTCCACAAGGATACATTTTGGCACCAATATTGTTCTTACCACAGCGATCAGGCCAACTCAGCTTGTTAAGATTTTAGACGGCGAGAAGATACCAACTTGCTTTATGTGTGAAGAAAAAAGAAAATGTTTGAAGTCATTATTCATCCACAAGTTCCCTAAAATTTCAGTTATACATCTGAAACGTTTCTCGCAGACTGTAGAGTTCAGTGAGAAACTGAACACAATTGTCGACTTCCCCTTGATCGGCTTGGACATGAGCCCCTATGGAGCTGAAGACATCGTACCATGTCCTTCCAAACTGTACGCTATCTCAAATCACAGCGGGACCACCTACAGCGGACACTACACAGCCTACTGCAGACATCTATATACGGAAATTTGGCACGAGTACAATGATTCCCTGGTTTCTTCAATTTCGTCGAATTCTCTCGTCAGTGGAAATGCCTATATCCTTTTTTACCAACAAGAGGCTCACCCCAAATACGAACAACGTGATGTTGATTCTGTGAAGAGCTACTGCTTCGTAGCTGATCCCGATAGCACCCTTCGTACTGTCCACTATTCCGCTGAAAACTACGACATGTTCAACACAGTCGTGGAGAAGCATGAAACTTCAGTCTACCCAGCTCCAGCTGCACACTCTGCCCCAGTACCTTATTCTGCCCCACTTGCACATGCTTGCCCCAGCCGTTCCTTCTGCCCCAGCCCACTTGTGGAGTGAATGAAGTGGAAATCCATTATTTATGTATAATGTTATGTTTATATGTTTATTCAATTTGAAATATATTCATACAGTGTGTGCGATTTCAACCCGCAACACCCTCCTAATTTGGAACCCGTCGACCGATTTTCAAAAACAAAAATTTCATAATATAGTACCCAACGGGATCTATCCGAAAGTGTGGACAAATCTGAAATATTCACATTTTCAAGGCCTACTTTCGATTGTTGCATGTGTCAAGATTTCAAAAACGACTATTAGGCCATTTTTTTTTTAGGTTCACTATTTTGAAAACTCGAGTAAACCTTTTTCCACACATTTCATCACAGTTATCACACAGTAACTTTGGAAATCGTCTCGGTTGATGAGGAATTGTCGAATATAACACAAATAGAATGACAGACAAACACTCTCTTAAGACTGCAAGGAGATTTACTGATACTCAAATTGATCATAATAATATACCGATTTCGGCGGAATGGAAGGTAAATTTGAGATGACAATAGGAATTGTTATGTATAGAGAATATCTCTTCATATATAAGTAACCATTATTTATATCTCCAGGAAAAAAGTATATGGACAATAATGGAAAATGTGTAAACTTCTATTTCATTAAATTTTGGTTGACCAAGAGAGATCTTCCTGTAGAAGTCACAATGATGAAACTTCGTATCTCAGTATCCGATGTGTTTCCCTATTGAATGACTACTTCACCAGTTATATCAACTCCTTAGATTTTGACACAGGGTGAATCCAAAAATCGAAAATATCAAAATTTGCCACTGAATAACTAACACCCTATATGAGATTTTGCGTTCAAATTTCGTATGGGGGTATTTCAGTTATGGTTGAATCGAGTAGGCTAGTCACAGTTCCGACAAAAAATTGCCTGATGATCGTTTTTGAAATTTTGATCCCTTCAACAAACGAAAGTAGGCTTTGAGAATCTGAATGTTTCAAAATTGTTCACATTCTCGAAAAGAGCTTGTTGAGTACAATATTATGGAATCTTTGTTTTTGTAAATCGGTGGACGGGTTCCAAATTAGAAGGGTCTTGCGGGTTGAAATCGCACACACTGTATATATCATGATAAAATTCGTGATATGGACAATGTTCTTACTTGATCTGTCGGGAGCAAACACTTGCCCTTTCCACAGCTTTGCAGACGATTTCCATACTGCTTTCTCTAGAATCCCCACCGAACTAAGAACTCACGACGAAGGCAATTCAACGCTGTCAATGACAATCTTGCTGAAATCACAACCTGGGAACCAACAACCTAGTTGAGTTCAACGCCGCCTAAACTTGAGTCTGCCTTTTCATTGTAACAGAGTATATCACCTGACGAAGCTAATGTGTTAGCGAAACATGTCGTATGTTAGAGAATTTTGTGAAAATCTTATCATTTATGAAGTTTTTACATCTTCTCCCTATATCTATTGACTCTTCTCAGCCACAGAAGTAAGCATGAGAAGGTTATTGATGGGATTTTACTCATCGGTAGTTTATATCTCTATCACAATCATCATACTCAGGTTTAAGGGGTGGATACAATTTCTTATCTGTAACAAATGAGCAAGAAGCAATGTGATTGTCTCCGTTCAGAAGATTGCGAGCTAATTTCATAATTTTATCCTCTCGGTTTTCGTTCAATTATTTCACTATTAGTTTGATGATATTCTACTCTGCCATATGTTAGCAAGGAAGTGAGAGATTTCAGTGAGGATGTGTGCAGATAATTTTGATTTGTTAATATATTTTTCCTCTATATTGTTCTCAATATTCGTCAACCCTACTGATGAAAGAGGTATGTGTCATCCACCTTAGCATTAGCACAAGGACCCGAATATAAAATTATTCTTCTTTCTCGATATAGGTACTTCAAAATAATAATGATGATATTCTTAACTATATATGAATAAGGAGAAGAGGAAATCTCGCGAATATCTGAATGAACAACTATTTCACCTCAGTTGTGAAAAACCTCATTTTGGTTTGTCCTCCATCACTTTCAATCTGAATATTTTCTTCATTTCATGATTCTCAACGGTGTCATTGGTTATTCCAAATTTTTTTGGATTCTCTCTCATCGTTTATATAAAAAAAAAATGGATATTATGTCAATATACTTGTAGTAGGGACAAATCAGATGATTTGCCCCAAAATGTCACTGCGTTTGAAGAATCTCCCTATCAGAGAGCCTAACAGAAAATTCGCTAGCTTGTCAGTAACAAATTGTATTGAAAAAAGTTTGGAGAAGAGAAATAAAGATATATTGAAAAAATATCAAATTTTCAATTATCTTCGGACGTTTCGGGACCGATTCTGCTCCCGTTCTTGGACATAAGAAATGATTATTTCAATAGCAAAGTCGTATTTGTCTTGAAGCCTTTCAGTTTTTATTAATTAATCTTGAATTTACCATTTTCATGTTCAGATTTTAGTAGTGAATACAGTATTTAGGTGTCATCGGTACTTTCCATACTTAACCTGACCTCATTTCCAACGGTAAATCATCTATTTTATCTCTCCAATTCGGATAAAATACAAGATGGTTTGTAGAGCGGGCCAATCAGTTTTTTATCTGCCGTCGTTTCATCTTCATTCACCAATTCCATTCGGCAATTTCCGAGAACCAATTCCATCCCGTGTTCAATAGGTGATAAATGAATAACGTCTACCACTTTGCACTGCGATATAAGTATCGTCCATTAATCCAGTCGATCTAGGTCGAAAAAAGGACCTATGTCACTATCGGATCCATATATTTGAAATTTTCAGGATAGTGTATTCAATGATCTTATGGATAAGACATTAGAAAAATGTTTCTATCTCAGGAAACGATGTCTTCTCCGTGTTTTTCAGGAGTTATCCTGAGCTATCGATTTTTTTATGCCAAAATATTTTTGAAGAAAAATATGACAAATTCACTTTTCGCTGCAGTCTTTGATCGAATTCATCAGCGGGTGGTATGAAACGTGATGTGTTTTTTCACGATATCGATGAGAAAAAAATCTGGAATTGCAATTGACAGATAAAAGGGGCAATATTGACAATGCCTCTCATATTGTATGGTCTTCAGTTACTCGAATATAATTATCATGAATCATTATGTTCATTGTTTGAATATTCTGAATTCCATGCAAGAATATGAATATTTTTATATTTGATTACCTGTTCAAAAACCAAAGAATTGATACGTTTCATCAAAAATATCCTGAATTTTGTGATGCAGAAACTATAGAACTAAAACAAGTGAGGTTCCATGGGTAAGGAGAGTGACATTCATGAATAATAACTTCAAAACTAACGGAAGACGCTAGAACACAACATATGGATCACAAATATGAATAAATACCTCGAGCAAATGTTGAAGTCATTTCGCAAGTGTATAGCAGATGCCAACTGATTTTTCAATTGTTTCGTCGTGATTTATTCTATTCCAGACATTTCTATTTGCACCAGTGTGGTTCACAACAGATTCTATCTTGATTATATTGATCCTTCAATCCGTTTTAGTTTCGAAAAACTCCAATCGGATGAAGATATAACAGGAAAAATGCCACAAGAATATTTGCTTTACAATTCGCACATATCGAACGAAGTAGATATTGATGAAGATATTCAATTCTTACAGTTGGAACAAGAAAAAGTCTTCCTTTCCAAATCTAGCCTTGAAATGTTTCGTTCTAAGTAGGTGAACAAGCGAAGTCTTGATAAGTGACTCACCTGTTTGTTGAATTATAAATGTTGTCTCAGGAAACTTCCATGATATTTCAAATTTCAAAATGGATAACGGTACCGAACTTTCATCAACTGTATAAATGTTTCATTCCACCCGTATTATTATCAGATAATGTATATATATTCAACCCAACATAGAAATGTCATTTGATTACAACCTAGGAGCTACAAACTTTCCGGTGAGTTTTTTAGTTTTTATAACCCTTACCGCCGAAATGTGGAATGAAGTGGGAGTTGTAGCTCAACGACTTCGCCTGTGGGAGTTCAACCGCAAGAGGAAACTTTCAATCCTCTATGCCGAAAACGTTCCAGATATGTCGTTTTCACGCTACATGGTATAGAATGTGGCAATACGAGAGTTTCTTGATGAATCCCATTGATACACTGAAGTGGAAATTTGGTTCGGAGTGAAGGAAACCCTATAACAACTGACAGTAGAATGTCATCAACATATATGTGAGAAAAGTTATGTATTTTGTATCATACATCATATCGATTGAAACATATGGAATTTATGCTTGCAGAAGAACATATCGCTTGAAGATATGCCAGTTAGTGAAACGGTATAATATATCCATCGTTTTTGATAATTTTCATTCTCAACTGGAAATGTTCAAGTTGTTTCACATTTATATTTATCGTCATATTACTGAAAACATTATAGAAGGAAAAACATGAAACTATAGGTACAAGCAGTTTCTTATCTTCGAGGTGTTTATCATATGTTTATTTTTCATATCGTGGCGCGCACGAATGGAACATCATGCGAATCTAGTGAGGATAAGGATAGAAGGTAGGTACGTATTTTTAATTGTTTCTTGAACTCCTGGAGATTATTAGTTCTTTGGAATACTTTCACCTGCAAAGAATTCCGGACCTTGTCTATGCATGGATAAGAGAGTGTTGGTGATGCGTTGTTAGACATATTGCGAGGTTCACGACAGAAAGATGTGCTGACTTGGCTTGTCAAGTACTTCTGAATGGTATTGCTGGTGATGGAATTATAGCAGAGATTTCTGAAGAAAATTTTTCGTGGAGATATTTATTGAAAAGTGAAAGGTTGCCGACTGAGAAATGTGATATCAGAAATCGATATATCAGGCATACTGAGTTCCGCCCTTCTA